TCCCTCCCCGTCTCGTCCCAATGCCAGCCCTCTCTTGGCCTTGACAGACGCATGTGGCCAACGGACGTGTGTGTGTGTCGCTACATGCTCAGCTGGGCCCGCGTGCCCACCCAGGTACCCAGAGGTTTGTGCCCTGCTGGCTCCTGCACCAGAGGTCTCAGGCTGGCTGGTTAGTGGAACCGCTGCCGCCAGGCTGTGCGGCCGGAGGGGGTTGGAGGGTGGGGTGGCGATGAGGAGGAGACAAGGTGGAGGTAGAGGCAGCCGAGAGACAAGACAGGTGGCAGGGAGGAAAGGTTGGAGAGTGACAGCTCGATGGGGACAGATAAGGCTGCCATCACTTGACAGGGGGACAAGGGACTGGGGGCCACGCAGGCCAAGGCTCCTTGCCCCCCAGCTCTGGCCATGCAAGGGTTAAAGCACCACACAAAGCCCACTCAGGCAATTTCCCCTCCTCCCACCCCGCCCCCTTCTCTCCTCTCTGTTTGTCCTTCTCAGGAACAGAGTGAGGCCTGGCCCTGGGGCAGGAGGAGTGAGGCCTCAGGGGGCAACGGGCCACACTGCTCCCCCCCCCCCACCCCGTCCCCTGGGTCCCGGCCCCTGGATGGCAGGCGGGCACCATGGAGGGGCTGGTGTGGGGGTCGCTGGGGAAATGTAGGGAGCTGAATGCTGTACTTTTGGGGGAAACAGGCTCAGAGACAGGAGAGGGTGGCTCAGAACCACCTACCTGTGAGTGGTCAAGACAGGACCCCCAGGTCCCGCACCCCCCAGGTTTTGAGAGAGTTAAATCCCACTGTTCCCTGGTCTTGGCCTACGGCCCCAGGCCCCAGGCCCCAGGCCCCAGGCCCCAGGCGCAGCCACACCCACTGCAGCCTGCAGAGCTCGCCCAGGCCTGTCTGTGTCCACTGGTACCCGCAGCGGCCTGGCCTGGGGCCCCAGTTCCCAAACTTCCGTCTCCCCTCCCAAGATCATTCTCAGGTGTGGCAGAGGTCAAGGCCAGCTGAGGTTAGACGTTGAGGTCTCCCATAAGAACTTCCGAGTCCTGGCATGGTGACTGGGCTGGGGCTGATCCGAGGGAGTGGATTTCCAGGGGGTAGGGCGCCCCCAGGGTCCCCACGGGTGAACACTTGCAAAGGCGGGGAAGCAGCAACCCAGCCAGGAGTTACTCCTCTCAACCTCCATCTCCATTGAGCTGTCATGTGTGGGAGCCACGGTCTCCACCCCATAGGCTCATGGGACCATGAGGTGTAGGCTGAGAGGGGCCTGGGCCACTGTGACTAATGCTTTTGTTTAGGACTCCCCCGGTTCTGCAGACAGGCCAGTGCCCCCAACTCCCATTCCGTCCCTGTTAGCCTCCCCGCCCCCACCCCACACACACTTAGGGTTGTGCAAAGCCTCCAGCCTCCATTTTCTGGGGCCTGGCCACTGCAGCCCCCACTGCCTGCCTGGGCAGCCCATCTGTGCCCTTCTCCCCTGGTCCCCTTGTCCTTGTCCCTGACACCCCTCAGCCCCTGCCCTCGAGGTAGGTGGGGTGTCTTCATGAAATTCTAACACTTCCCCCTGGAGTCGGGCACTTTGTCTCCATGTTTTCCTCCTGAAGCGCTGCTGCCCAGGGACCTGCCACCCGGCCCTTCTACGGACCCTGTGTCCCTAGCCCAACGTCCCTCCTCTAGCATAGGCCTCTGGGCCCCCACACATTTGTTCAGGCTGTCTCTGCCCCCCACCCACTTCCCCTGTCCATCGGCACCCTCCCAAGCAAGGGCAGCGAGTGGAAGGAAGGCATTTCTGGGGAGATGAGGGCGGAATCCCAAAGTCCCAGGGGCTGGCCAGGCTGACAGAGGTGGCATGCGGTTACGTGTCCGGCTGCTAACCTTCAGGGCAGCAGTTCAAAACCGCCACCCGCTCCTCAGGAGGAAGATGAGGCTCTCTATACCCGTCAAGATTTAGGGTCTCGAAAGCCCACAGGGGCAGTTCCACCTGGCCCCCAAGGTTGCTGTGCATCACAAGAGACTCCGTGGCAGCGAGTGTGACTTTTGTTTTGGCCAAGCGTGCCCCCCACTCCCCGACGAGCCCCTGAGGTCCAACAGCCCTCCCTCCCCTCCCTGCTCACCCCTCTCCTCACCATTCCCTAGACCAAGTTCTCAACCTTCCCGATGCCACGACCCTCTCACACAGGTCCTCAGGTGGTGGTGACCCCCCAGCCGTAACATTTTCGTTGCTACTTCATCACTGTTATTTTGCTACTGTTACAAATTGTCATTTAAATATCTGGTATGCAGGATGTATTTTCATTGTTACAAATTGAACATAATTAAAGCACAGTGATTCATCACAAACTATACCTGATTATATATTGTGAACTATTTATTTCTAATGACAAATAAATGAAATTTTGTCTTGAAGCATGGTGTAGCATGGGTAACCGTCTTCACCGGGTATTTGTATGTGGGTGTAGCTGCATGTGGGCGGACCCGCCTGGAGACGGATAGAGGAGCGGTGTCTCCTTGGTTCCCAAGACCATCAGAAATAATGCGTTTTCCAATGGTCTTAGGCGACCCCTGTGAAAGGGTCGTTCGACTCCCAAAGGGGTCACAACCCACAAGTTGAGAACCGCTGCTCTAGACGGCTCCAGGGTGCCCGCCCCTCCCGACCGCAGGGCGGGGCCTGAGCTGAGGGACACAGGTGAGCAGACGGTCACGCCCTGAGAGACAGGCCACCTCTCCCGTGGAGGGGATGGGGGGGGTCTTGGAGGGGCTTCCCCCTGCAGGCCCGGCAGGAAGCCCAGGGCAGCTCCAGAGCACGTGCCTCCCCAGGGCTGGTTCCCAGGCTCGGCCTGGCCCCCGGGGCCAGCTTGAAAGCAGAAGAGAGACGGGGCGCTCCACGGGCAAAGCCTCAGTGGCCAGTGGGATCCGCGCCCGCCAGTGTCCTTGGCACAGAGTTAATTGGAAAAAACCAACAGCTCCCTGCTCAACAGCTCCCACCGGGAGCAGGAGCTGCGGGCGCAGCCGCGTGGCCTTCACCTCTGCACAGGCAGCGGGAGCCGGAGAGCGCAGGGGCCCACAGGCCGACATCTACCCAGACAGACCGGGAGAGAGAGGCAGGGCTCCCCTCCTCTTCCCCCCAGGTGGTGGTGGCGGGCTGCAGGGACAGGCTGGCCAGGTGTACACCGGAGACACGGTGGCAGAGGGGTTGATGGCTGAGGTCTGAGAGACAGTGCGGGGGATAGAAGTCCTTGATGCCCATTCAGGTGTCCTCCTCACAGCACCCCACGCCCCCACCAGCAACACCCCAGCAGTACTGGCACCTTCCCTCCCCGTCTCGTCCCAATGCCAGCCCTCTCTTGGCCTTGACAGACGCATGTGGCCGACGGACCCCCAGGCCTGTGGGCCCGAGGCTTCGCCAGGAGCCCAGACTCGGCCGGCGCAGCATCCTGCCCCCAAAGCCGCTCCTTGGGCCCCAGTGGGAGGGGGGCCAGGGGCACGTGGAGGAAGGGCACCGGCACACCGACAGCTCATCCCAC